ATCAATAAACAATATTTCGTGCATAAGAAATTGTTTTTAAGAGCTTTTGTCAACTATTTAAAAGTTCTCATTTTTTATGTAATTTTTTTTAATTTATATTTTATTATAATTTAATTTAAGTTTAATAACGAAATAATTTATTTTTGGTTTAATAATATAACATTATATAAAAATAATAATTAAGTATTCTGTTAGAACTTCAATTGTTTATGGGGAAGGAACAAGTTTCAGGTGATGTCTTTTTAATTTCCTTAAAATGCCAAATGTGCGGTTCAGATGACTTCCGATAGTCATCTGGTTTTTTTTGAAAATAGACAGGTGAGTTTCCGAGAATTATTATATCTATCAATCTTTAATGGGTTTCGTTTTTTAAACCTGAAAGGGGAAACCGATAAGTAGATTCATATATACAAGTTACAGATTGGGTTATTATTCTAATTTTATCTTTCTTTGACTTCACTTCCCTTTGAAATAAAAGCTCTACTTTTTGTTCACATGCTAGAAGAAGATGTGAAAGAGTAGAAAACAGATTGCTTTATGGGCTTGAATCTTGAGAATCTATCTGRGATTTTAAGGGTCATTCTAGATTTGTCTTTTTTTCAATTGGAAGATGGAAATTGATCCATTATTGAGGGATCTAAGTGAGAAGAAACAGAGCTTTCGCCGGAATGYGGTCTCACTTGCTGCTGAGCTCAAGGAGGTCCGAACCCGTCTTTCGTCCCAGGAACGATCATTCGCTAAAGAATCTTTAACTAGACAGGCATGTGTTCTTGATTTCTTTACTCAATTCCAACTTGTTTTCTGAATGAATATTTGTAGATCTGATTCAGTTTTTCCTAACAATTATAAATATTCTTCATTACAGGAAGCAGAAGCTAGAGCTAGGAATATGGAACAAGAGATTTCTAGATTGCAGAAGAATTTAAATGAGAAAAACCTACAGCTTCAAGCATCCTCATCGGATGCCGAAAAGGTTTKACTTTGTCTCCAATTTGCTTACAACATATGATTGAAGATGGTTAATTTAGAGTTGAAACCTTGATTTGATTTGATCTGGTTTAGTTTATATGATTCAAACATGTTTATTCAATGAATTTTTTTAGTGTCTGTTTCCCTTTGGCTTTTTGGTGCACTTAGAATAAGAATAGTTTCCATCTTTTTGGGTTATTCCACTTTATGGTTGAGCGGAGGTACGTTGGTTATATTGTTATAAACTTTCTCATTGCTAAAATTGGGAACAAATTACTGATTTTATCGAATATTTAATATTTACAGGTAGCAGAGTTGAGAGAGAAGTTGACAAGGGTAGAGGAGGAGGCACAGTTACGGGAGGAACGTCATCTGGCCGAAATGGAGGACGAACGGAGGAAGATGGCAGATTTGGAGGCCGAACAGGCCAGACAAGCTGCTGCATTAGCCCAACAGGCCGCATTATCGGAGCATTTTGTTTTGTTTATGCTGAAGTCAGGATACGTTTTCCCACCTCCCCCACCTTCCGATAGTTAGATTATATGTATTCGAATATTAAATTGTATGAATTGAATATTTTAAATTTTATGAATCCATATTTTAAATCGTATGAATTGGTTATTAAAATTTGTTTACAGTTTTTGTTTGTTAAATATTTTCAGGTTATTTTTATAAATAAATACAGGAATTATCCAATTTCAAAAAAATTATTTTTTAAATTTATATAAATTAGCGACGGATTAGTGAGGGAAAATCCGTCGCTGAAAGTCTTCGAAAATTCCGTCGCAAATCTGTCGCTGAAGGTTCCGTCGCAGATCCGTCGCTGAAGGTTCCCTCGCAGATCCGTCGCTGAAGGTTCCCTCGCTGAAAGTGTCCATCGCAAATCCGTCGTTGATTCGTCGCTGATAGCATTACCTACGACTATTTGACCGACAGAGTATCAGCGACGGATCAGCGACGGATTGCCCTTTCAGCGAGGGATTTGCGAGGGATTTTTCCCTCGCTGATACTCTGCATTTTTTGTAGTGTCAACGATTATTCTAATTATATTTTAGATTTTTTATATTTAAAATAAGATGTTTATCCTGTATTTGATTGTGTTTATCTGCAGTAGTTACACGAATTCAGATATGGGATGAAATCAGATACGGATGAAATCGTTTAGGGATGAACGGGTTTAAGAGTTTTTAAGAGTTTTAAGAGTTTTTAAGAGTTTTAGGCAAATGCTTTATAAGATAGTATAGAAATATAGGGGTCTAATCAAATGAGAACTATTTAGTTTGTTGTAACCGTAAAATCCAATCTCAACCACAAATCAATAGTTAAATTAGAAAATTTATAATTTTGGTAATTTTGAATTAAAATTTTAATGGAAGGATATTTTATGTATTTTAAAACTTTCCTCTCTCCTCTCTTCTCTCTCCGTCCCCCGTCCTCCTATCACCGTCCTCCGATGATATTACAATGATATCACAATGCATCATATATGTGCTTGGGTATCACACTGAGGTCATTTGTGTGGTCGATCGAAGATGTAACACAGTGGTACCCCAATTGGTACTACATTGGGTATCACATTGCATCTTGTATGTATTTTGGGTATCACAACGTGGATGATCGTTATGTATTTCTTAAATTTAGATTATGGATTTGATTTTGTTTTTAAGGTTTAGGTTGGTATCATAGTTGGTATCACAATGGTATCACAGTGATACCACAATGGGTATCACATTGTGTATCACAATGATTACTTGGTACCGGTCGGAATAATGTTCATCGGAGGATGGAGATCCGAGGTCGGAAAGAGGTAAGAGGTGAGAGGAGAGAGGAGAGAGAAGAGATGAGTTTTTAGAAATACCTAAATACCCTCTAATTATAATTTTAACTCAAATTACTAAAATTACTAATTTCTTAATTTATCCGTTGATATGTGGTTGAGATTAGATCTCACAGTTACCACAAACTAATCAGTTCTCTCTTGAATGAGCCCATATATATATATATATATATATATATATATATATATGACTTAGGATCATGTGAGACCAAAGGTCTTTTGTGAGACCCGTAAGACCAATTCTCAACTCTTGGATTAGATCTATAATCTCAACATTCATAATCACAAAATTGCCACGAGACTTCTCAATAATTACAAAATTGTTACCGTGCAACTTTATACCATTAGATCATTAACTTATAAAGTTGATCAATGAACATAAATTGGTTTCACGGGTCTCACGAAAAACCTTTGGTCTCACGTGAACCCAATCCATGTATATATATATATATATATATATATATATATATAGAGGAGCGATCAAATGAAAACCACTCCCATTTGTAAAAACCGTAAAAACTACTCTCATCCGTCGTTAATTTTATAAAAAAATTTCATGAAATTGTTAATCTTGTGAAATTGTTTCATATAATATGTAACACCCCCATACTCCACATTTGCATAGAACACATATTTCATTACATAGAAACATGGATTACATCAAAAGGTCCCACTAGTACAAGGATTGCTATATGTACAAAATCTACATATAAAATTTCTAAAACAAATCCTGTACTACTACATGTAATATAACATGTATCTTCCAAAAGCAGACAATAGGTTAGGAAAATAATCACATTTTTCCTTTCCCTTTCATATCCCCGGACCCAGCTTTTCCTGCATCGCATAATTTAAAACAGAAAATGAGGGTTAGACCATACGGGTCTAGTGAGTAAATCCCCTATTTGCAAATGCAGGGTGACAAACACCAAAATATGATAATGTAATTTTGGCTTAGAAAGATACTGCAATATAACAATTGATGCAGTTCASAATATCATGCATAAAGAAGTATATCCAAGAACCTCACTTCTTTAAAATATCTCTAAATAGAGATCCAACATTCACAGTATCAAAACTTTTGATTTAAAAGACCATTCCTTTAACAGGAAAGATTTAAGGAAAAACTTGCCTGATATGACAAACCATTTCCCCCTTCCCAATAACATCTAAATTATTACTTCTAAATAGGAATAATATCTCTAATTCATCAGGTCACAAAGAAATGATGACTCAAAGTTATTAAATCCAATTTAGTAATAATAATAAGAGTTATAATAATATCCACATATGACAATGCCACCCTTATTCCAAGTACACCTCTCATTGATATGCCACCCTTATTCCTCCATTAAAATAGAGCTACTTATCAGAATAGACATAAGTCACCACGTCTGAAAGTACTCATTCCCAGTTCCAARCCAGAACAGACATAAGTCACCACGTCTGGGGGAACTACCATTTAAAACTCACTTCCATACCAAAACAGACTTACGTCACCACGCTTGGTAGGAAGGTTTCTCAAAATATAGTTTCGTACCAAAACAGACTTACGTCACCACGCTTGATAGAAACATTTCCCAAAATCCCGTTCCAATACCAAAACAGACTTATGTCACCACGCTTGGTAGGAACATTTATCAAAAACTCGTTCCATACCAAAACAGACTTACATCACCACGTTTGGTAGGAACATATCATTTATTTTAAAAGATATAAAATAATCATTTTATGAATCATAAATAAATAAACATTAAAAACTTATAAAATTTTCAATATAAAACTATCCGGACAAGTTATCCGGATTTGAAGTCCGGACAACACTGTCCCCTTTTGTCCGGTTTACTAATCCGGACAACACATCTCAAATACTTGTCCAAATTATTCAACTTCGTCCGGATACTAGTCCGGACAACACATCATACCTTCATTGAACGGTTTAACACTTAGAATAAAATTCATATTGAGCGGATAGCAAATCCGGTCAACAGTCCGTTCAAGACTCGCCCGGTTTAAGACTAAACCGCTCACCACTCAACCGGTTTACCAACTCCRGTCAACAAACCGCTCAAGGTTTGTCCGGTTTAAACTAGTCCGGTCACTAAACCTTTCAAGGCATGTCCGGTTTAAGACAATCCGGACACTAAACCGCCTAAGGCTTGTCCGGTTTAAACTCTAATCCGGTCACTCTTTGTCCGGATAACACTTAGATGAAATAACCATGCTTTCTTTTCAAATAAGAACATTACGAAGCGTGCAATTATAACCAGTAAAATCTTTATACAAAAAGGTTAGAAACCACTCACCTTATCAAACTTTTGAACCCAAAATGCTAGAAATTGATCCTTTTTGAAACTTGATACTTGAAAACCAGCTTGAAATCACCTTCTTTTGCTAAACCGGACAACACTTTTAAAACCTCTCAAATCCTCTCAAAATAGCAGGGAAATAAAAATAAGGAGGCTAAGCCTTTTATTTATACTACCCAAATAGGGTAAGGCGGCTAAAACCGCCTTCCCTCATCCCTTCCACCTCAAGCTTAACCACATGCACCCACATTCACATACATACACTATGCATGCATACCTTTTCCATGCATACATCCATGCACATATTTTGCAAATATATATATATATATATATATATATATATATTTATCCAATTAATTGCACAAATCCACATACCAGCATGTATCAAGTTATCATGCTATCACAAAATCATTTAAATCAGATAATCACGTACCATTTACCTTGGGTAATAACCAGGGTTTGGTTATCACATAATACTTTTTTTGATGTAATTGTTTCATATGTGGTTATGAAATTGTTTCATATACTACTTAATGAAATTTTAATGAAACTGTTTCATGTATTTATCTAAAATTAAAATAATGAAGATGATAATATCCATGATTAACACCCTCCACAATAAAAATGGTTAATCAACCTCTCATAATTACAAAAAAATGAAAAAAAATGATTGGTTGAATGAGTTTTTCACGGTTTTTACAAATTGAGTGATTTGAACTCACCCCTATATATATATATATATATATATATATATATATATTTACTAAAAGGGTACTTGCGCAATGCAGCGATATACATCTTGATTTTAATGTTTTATTTTATTATTTTATCGTTGTTATAATACGGTTTTATATGGTACTGAAAAAGCAATAATGTTTTTTTTTGAATAAAATATAAATTTAAAGATATCATAAAACTTTGAAAAAAATATCGTATCAAATTAACTATTTAAAAGTTAGTTTTTTTTGTGTAATTCTTTTAATTCAATGTTTTTTTGTTATGACTTAATTTAGGTTTGATAAAGAAGTAATTTATTTTTGGTTTAATAATATAATTTTTTTTATAAAGATAATACTTAAATATTTTGTTAGAATGATTATTCTAATTATATTTTACATTTTTTTTATAGGTATATGTTGTTAGTTGCACAAATTCAAACATGGAGTTTTAATAAATTGTACTTACGCACATAAATGAAGTAACATATGATAAAGTAACATTTATAGATGTACCAAGAGAATAGATGAAATGTTGGTTCCAATGTCATACGCTTCGTCACAAAAATTAACCCTAGAAATTGAATCTTGAATAACAAACAAAAGATTAAAGAAAACAAGAAAACGAACCTTGAAAGATGTTGACTCTGTTTGAATAAAAAAACAAAAGATTGTAGAGAACACGTATAGTGTAAATAATTGAAATCGA